AAAATGCATTCAGTTCAAATTCATGCCAACGCATTGTTGTGGGCTTATTGTGCTTATGTATATTTTAGTATTTAGAGCGACCCTAAAGACACTGCTGCTGAACAGAGCAGGAGTGAATAAATGAAACACATATGCTAGCGTGAAAGGAGGCGGCTCAGGGAGGAAAGATGAGATGATGGAAGTTGTTGCACTTTTCAATTTTCTTGCACAAAGAATCATTTAATCCTAACGACTGTCTATTTCCTCAAAATACAGCTATGCTTTTGTCCACGCCTCGTAAGAACATATGAACGGTCACATTGGGTCAGACTAATGGTCCATCTAGCCCTGCTGTATCCTGTCTCTGACAGCAGCCAGATGCTTGAGAGGGAATGAACAGAACAGGTCAATTTTGAATGTCATCCGGTCCTAGGTTCTGGCAGCTGGAGGTTTAGGTACACCCGGAGCATGGGGTTGCGTCCCTGACCATCTTGCTAATAGCCATTGATAGACTTATCCTCCATGAACTTATCAAATTCTTTTTTAACCCAGTTTTACTGTTGGTCTTCACAACATTGCATGGCCATGAGTTCCACAGGTACACTGCATGTTGTGTAAAGAAGTACCTCATTTTGTTTGTTTTAAACGTGTTACCTATTAATTTAATCAGGTACCTCCTAGTTCTTGTGTTATGTAAAGGGGTAAATAACACTTTCTTATTAACTTTCTCCACACTGTTCATAAGGTTATAAACCTCTAGTCATCTCTTTTGTAAGATGAACAGTCCCAGTCTTTTTAGTCTTTCCTCATATGGAAGCTGTTCCATATCCTTAAACATTTTTGTTGCCGTTCTCTGCATCTTTTCCAATTTTAATATATCTTTTTTTGAGATGGGGCGACCAGAACCACATGCAATATTCAAGATTTGGGCGTGCCATGGATTTTTATAGTGACATTATGAGATTTTCTTTATCATCAATCCCTTTCCTAAGTGTTCCTAATGGGGCAGGAGGTGATACATCCAGAGAACTATCCACGGTGACTCCAAGATCTTTCATCAGTGGTAACAAGTAATTTAGACCCCTATCATTTTGTATGTATAGTTGCGATTATTTTTTTCAATGTGATTTACTTTGTATTTATTTCATCTGCCATTTTGTCACCCAGTCACCCAGTTTAGTGAGATCCCTTTGTAACTCTTTGCAGTCAGCTTTGGACTTAACTATCTTGAGTAACTTGGTGTCATCTGTAAATTTTGCCACCTCACTGTTCACCCCCTTTTCCCAGATCATTTATGAATCTGTTGAAGGTGGGCAGCCTGCAGACTATGCCCTGGTAGCATGGAGATAGATGGTAGTAATGTCTAGAAGATAAGCAGAGTAGTAAGCAGATCACCAGTCCTAAAAGCCCCATGTATAGCTCTGTGGGCTACTACAGCCCAAGTAATGTAGTAGGGGCAGTGGATTCTTTCCTTCAACGCTTCTTCAATCCCCTGGTTATATTTTGTTCACATACAGGGAGGGAGTTTCAAAGTCGGGTAGATCAAAGTGCATTACAGAACTTTTAGTATGCTGCAGCTGCAGCCACATGGACATTTAGTGTGTGGCAGGCTAGTGTGAGGTAGATTTATGCTCCAGCTAGCTGCAAACTAAGTGTTTGTATAGGCAAGCTTTTATAGTAACAGATTTTCCCTACTTTCCATTGTGCTACTGATGATGATAATCCTTCCTGAGTCAAACACTAAATAAATCCTTATAGAAATCCAGTCTGTCATCTTTGAAAATACTTCCCTCTAATAGTCTATATTGTACTGAAATGCTTCATACAGTAAGAGAGGTTAGGCTTCCTGTACTTTCTAATGGAAAGAACAAAGTCTTCCATTGCATTTTAAGGCAAGGCATTGGGATTGTGTAAAATAGGTCAGAGATGTATTTAATTTTAAAAAGGGTGGAGTGGAGAGCGGGAGAGAATAAAATTTTCCAGAATGGCAATCAGGTAACCCTGAGGTGTGGTTATCATAAAATAATTACACCCCGGAGGGATTAGAGGCATCCACCATTGCCTGCTGCCTCATAATGCCTCAGGGATGTGATTAATTTATGATAATTAAAGATCTTAAAGTGGAAGTGCTGCACAAACATGGGAAATCTGAAAAAGTTTGGAGTTTGGGGCCTGGCACAATGTTTTATGTAATTATGTTTTAACTTTTTTTTGTTTCTGATCTTCTTTTTCCGTCCCGCATGTTCCCTGGCTCTTAACTGTGGAAGTGGCATCATAGATTAATTAAATTCCCACAGGACCCTAAATATATCAGTGCCCTGCTCACATTAGCATGAGATTACTAGTTGTGTTGTTATCCAAAGTGGGGCATCACTTTTGGTAAGCAGTATGGTACTTAAATTATTAAAGTACCTGTCACTTTGAACCTACTCAGATTGGAGGCTGAGATCACTATTGCCACTGTCCATGATAGTGAAAATTTGCAAGAATATATATATGTTGTAGAGAAGGCTCCTGACAAATAATTCTGGATTCAAACTTTCCTCTCATTTAGTGGTATTTAGGGTCTGGAGGTTTGGTTTGGGCTTATATCTAATCCACCTTCCCTTCTCCCCTCCAATTAACCAGTGAAATTTCTGCTCTTCCTTCCTCTCATTTAGCTTATGTGTAGGCTATTAAAAATGCTAAGGTTGTAACCACTGTAGGTTTTTCACTATCCATGTATATTTCTGTAGTATGTTCAATACTCCCTTCATTTCCCTCTCAAATCCAAGATTGCTATTGTAAAGAACATCTTTTTCCCATTATCAAAATTATCAAGACTAATAAAAGACCATCACACAATAGATTTCTACACTCTTACAGTAATAGTTAACAACCTATTATTGAAAACTTGTAACAAGTCGTGTTGCTGCATAAAAATATATACATGAGATATTAACAAACAAACAGAACAATCTTGAGGTCTCTTTGCGGATGAAATTCTGTGGTGCTCTAAACATATTTTTTTTCTTAAATTTCTATAGTTTGGTTCATTGCTAACTCCACTTCCGACCATGCATGGACCAGGAGAGATTTTGTAGTTTTTCTGGTTGGTTTAATGGCTTAGTAGAAGTAGCTCTTGCGTCTTGTGGGAGAACCACGTTAACCACACAAATAAGAAAGTGCTAGATTTTGAATTTTAATTCTTGTGCAAAAGACCAGGTCTGAAGTAGAATTAGCATTCCTCTCCCCACCCCTATATCCACAGTGGGATATTAGTGACATGTTTGCTAGAAATTTCAAGCTTTGGGCAGAAAAATCTTTTTTGCTCTTTAGAGTAAATATGAAGACTAACAACACCAAAGGCCAACTTCAGTGCTGAATTTAGTACCTAGATGTGTGTGACACTATTTTGTGTGCAAATCACTCTTCTTGCTAGTTTGACAGCCAAAGTGATTATTTTTAAAATAATAATCAGTGCAATGCTTCAAAGTATTATGAATAACTCTTTTGGTGACTGACATTGCATGATGAAAAATGATCAGTTAGTTAGGTCAATCAGATATAGGGGTAACAGAAGCTTTTCCTCTTCTACCAAAACTGTTTTGCCTGTGTCTTGTTCAGGGGCGGCTCCAGGCACCAGCGCAGAAAAGCACGTGCCTAGGGCGGCAAGCTGAGGGGGCAGCGTGCCGGTCGCCGTGAGGGCGGCAGTCAGGTAGCCTTCGGCGGCATGACTGCGGGAGGTCCACTGGTCCCACGGCTTCTGCGGCAATTCGGCGGCCCGCGGGACTGGCAGATCACCTGCAGAAACGCTGCCGAATCCGTGTGACCAGCGGACTGCTCGCAGGCATGCTGCCGAAGGCCGTCTGACTGCTGTGCTTGGGGCGGCAAAAAACATAGAGCCGCCCCTGGTCTTGTTGACCTCCACACAACCTCATGGATATGGGATAGTCATGCTTAGCTGAATGCAAATGGAAAGATTGGTCTCGTTACTTATGCTTTTAAATGTAGGCTAATTTCTCTCTGAAATCTATGTGTGCAGGATTCAGATTTAGAAGTTTTTTGACAACTGCAGAGTTAACAATTTTCATTTTACGCTAAGGATTTTTTTAGTAGAAGTTTGCTATCCAGTGGATTGCTGAAGAATGTTTTATCTGCAGAGATGAGTCTAGCTAGCTATTCTATAACATTACCCCCTTTCATTTCCCTTCACTATTTGATGCCTGCCTCACTGAGCCCTTTCAAAATAAGAAACAGTACAGTGTTCTCTGAACCACTTTACTGGTGTCTGCTCTAATTACACCTTTGTACTCCGTCCATATCTATCCACAATATAACTAAATTTGTGCATCTGTATGAAACTCAATCTTCTTTTAAGTTTAATTCTGTTTATGGGCTACTCTATGTGTCTTGTCCATATTACTTTGCAGAGCTGTAAATATGCAATATTTGCCTTTGTCATAATGGCAGTTCTTCCTGTGCTGCATTTACTATGTATGATTTTGGTAGTCTAGAAATAATTTAATCTCTAGATCATTTAATTTAGAAAGAAGGATGGAATAAAGGGAATTGTTTAATGAACAGGTGAATTACACTGTGCAAGATTCTCCTTCACCCATTAAGAGAGATAGTAGCTGGGTTTATTCCATGACAGCTCTTTGTATTTTTAAAATGAGGTTATTTGGAATCACTCAGCATGACTGTTGAAGCTTTTCTCTTGTAGTGATATTCCGATCAAGTGGTTCTGGATGTGGCTTCTTTAGGGTCTCATTCACACTACTGCATGTCATTTGGGGTCCTCTACAAATCATGCATTATTGCCTATGGGCAATTTCGGAGATATCAGTTGAAAACAGCGTGGAGAATTAACTCCGTCTTTCCTTGACCCCTCACTCCAAAGGGGATGAAAATGCTGCCTCCATATTGCTCCCAATTCCTGACAATGAAGACTAGCAACATGCTTGAAATTTGGTACCCAGGTGGTACCATGTTATGTTGCCACTGTCTAACCAAGTCTTATGCTAGCTTTTTACTTACAGGCCTTTTGTGGTGTTGTGTCAAGCTGGAAGGAATGAAGAAGTGTGTGCAGTATCAAGAGAAAGTTAAAGATATGTAGTAAAAGGGAAATTAATTCAGAAAGATGTTTACTGGTTTCCCAGTTTATCTTAACCACCTTGTCTTGTGGTGATGGTGGGACCAAGGAAGAGCTTCCTATGCAAATATAACCAGAAAGCATAACATTCCATTTCTTAAATTAGAACAATCCCTCTTCTTATTTGCCATTATGTGCACTGCTATCTGGTGTCAAAATGTTAATGCATATGAATTTTGTGCAGGCTGAGGGAGCAGAATTGTCTCAAATTCAGAATTATTAATGCTCTTCACTTTACCATCTGGGGCATACTCATTTGATTGCAGAGGAGAACTGTTTGGTATTTGCAGGTAATCCTTGTATTTATTTCAGTCTCCATTTTGCCTAATGATTTTTGACATTTCTCCACTGACCAGTGTATACCTCTCTAAATGTTATTCCCCAGAGCAAAGGTAAACCTGCAGGCATCTTCAGGTTTAACTCTCTAATCCTGCCCACTGTTTTCTAACAAGAATATTTGAAAATCCACATACTTGTGCAGCATGCCTGACAAACTAATCAGCTTTTCACACTCACTAATAAGGCTTTCCCATTCTCTCTGCATTTTTATTCAAACTTCTCACCTATTCACAGTGAAAGTCATTGCATTTTCTGCATTGTTCACTTCCAGTGAGCTGCATCACCAACAGCTATGGTCAGTCTTTATTTAATCCAAAAAAAAAAAAGAAGCTTTGTTTGGATTTGGATGAACTTGTATTAAATCAAAGAAAAATCATTTATCAAGTGCCTGGAAAAATCAGAAGCATTTTCTAAGAATGGATCTGTAAAGTGCTTTGCTTACTGGTATCATGTTGTTCAGCTTTTATTAATGGAAGTTGTTAATAGCCATTAACTCAGCATGTAATTTTTTTTCTGATTCTGACATTGGAGGTTCAAATTCTCCAAATCTGAACCTTTTTGCTTGACTTTTTTGTCATTAATTTTTAATATCTTAATGTGCAATCACAGTTCTTGGTTTTATCTAAGACTGGAAACCGAGATACCAAAATGCACCAAAAGATTAATCCTGTGGTATTTCTGATCAGAAAGACAAAAATAATCTGCATCGACAAACTGAACTGAACACTTTGAATCATCTGAGATTAGAACATAAGAATGGCCCTACTGGGTCAGACCAAAGGTCCATCTAGCCCAGTATCCTGTCTTCTGACAGTGGCCAATGCCAGGTGCCCCTAAGGGAATGAACAGGATGGATAGTGATCAAGTGATCCATCCCCGTCGCTCATTCCCAGATTAACTCATTGCTCATTCTCTTCAGTTTCATAATTTTGTTTAAATGATTCTGATATTGAGCACTTGAACTTAAAAGTGGCAGTCTTAGTCTGTCCAAACACTCTCTCCCCCCTCTTCCCCCCCCAAAAAAAACAAACAATCAAACTGCTGTTTGCATGAGGCTGTTAAAGGTTTCACTCTATTGGGGCAAGAGAGAACTTGTCTATTACAGGCTTGTGATGTTAAAAGAAAATAATATAAAATATTTGTAATGAAATAAAATAAAAACTTTCCGTTCTGATAAGGATTTTGATTTTTTTCTAAGCAAATTTAATTGAAATAAACACATTCCTGCAGAATGTTTTTTGATTTTGAGAAATTGGCAGTTTCTGGCAAAAAAAAGTTCAGTTGGAAAATTTTCAACTTGCTCTGCATGGTTATTTGGTTCAGGTGTGTTATCCTCTTTGTTCGGTGAATGTGATAAATTGCTATTTAAAGGATATGACAATAAAGATGGTCCTTGGTCTAGTATATTGTGTACTTTGTGTCGCTTCCATGCTATTCAGTCCATTGAAAGGGTGGTTCATCCGTATAGCTTTGTTTAGAGTGTCCCAAAAAGAGGTGGGTCCAGTGAATAGAACAAAAATACCAGCAGGCGGTAAGATTCATGTGAATGTATTGTGTGGAGAAATGCAAAATAAAACGAACTATAATACGTTTTAATTGGGATGGGTTTAGGGTGCAAAGTTCAGATCAGAACCTGGACTAGAATTGCCAGGTGCCCGGTTTTCAACTGGAAAGTCAGGTCGAAAAGGAGACCTGGCATCATCTGGTCAGATGTATTGACTGGACACCAAAATCCCAGTTACCACAGGATGGGGGTGGGGGAAAGCACATGCTAGGTCATTAACCTCAGCTGGGCCTGCCTTCTACCTGCAGGTAGGCTCTTTGTCAGGCCGCAGTAACTCCCATGCCAGCCCCAGAGCAGAGGGAGGCCAGCTGGTGTGGGGAGGGAGGTGGAGATGATCCAGCAAGTGAAGGGGTGGGGCCTTGGGGGAAAAAGGCAGAGAAGGGCTGGGCCTGGAGAAGGGGGGGCAGGGGTGGGGCCTCATGTGTCCAGTTACCAGCTATTAGAAAGGTGACAACCCTAATCTGGACATTCCCCAAGTCTAGGAGTGTGTTTGGATCTAAAGTTTTTGGTTTGATCTCATCTAGTGGTAAGAAGGCCCAGGAATCAAACTGGGATCTGGATTCTGTGGCATTCAGGTGCAGAGATTGAAAATTCTGTTGCAGCATTGTGGTGGGGCGACTGCCCCACACCCAGAGAGAGTAGGCTGTGGCAGGCCTAGGCGCCTGAATAGGCACGCGGCCAATCAGGAAAGGGCTTACTGGGAGCCAATCAGAAGGCAGATTGGGGCCAGCCAATCAGGGCCCGCCTCAGCCATATAAAAGACTGCCCAGAGCAGGAGCAGTCAGTCTGTCCCAGGCCTTCAGAGGGGAAGGTCTGTCTCCAGAGCTGGGAGGCCAGCACCATGGACAGCGCAGTGCAGGCCAGCCTGAGAGAGTGGGAGAAAGCCCTACTCCATAGCCCAGCAGGCCTGGGAGGAGGAGGCCTAGCGTAGAGAGGGGCTGTTGGGGAAGCGGTCCAGAGGGATAGTCAGAGGAGGAAGGAGAAGGAAGACAGTGAGACTGTCGCCCGAGGGCCTCTGGACCGGGACTCAGAGTAGTGGGCGGGCCTGAGTCCCCTCCCCCTTTTCCCCCCTTTGTTTGCTGTGCTGCCCTACACACAGCCACAGGCTGCAGGGAGCGGCTGGCCAGAACCACGCCTGGTCCTGGACTGTGAGGATCGGACTCGAAGGCGTGGGGCTGTTGTTTACCCCCCCCTCCGGAAGGGGGTGTGAATGGACCAGGGAACACTGTCGGAGGGCAGTGCTCCGGAAGAGGACGCCGTACGTGGAGAGCAGCGCAAACCCGCGCACCCAACGAAGGCGAGACGACAGGCGGGACGCCACCCAAAGAGGGCGCTCTACTGGCTAAGACTAATTCCCCGAGACGACCAGGAGGAGGCGCTGCAGCGGTGAGCTACCGACCCTGTCACAAGCATTATTGTAGGTTTGCAATGAATTAAGTATGAAAATGAATTATACTGTCAGTATAGAAACCCCTGTGATATTTCTGAGATCTTAGTTTATATTATACAATTCCGCACTTTTTGTCAAGGCTGCGGATTACTGTATTTACAACTCAAAAGTGAATCAAAGGGGTTATCAGGGAAGCTGGATAGGGGACACAGTTTGGGCTTTTGACCTCTGGTGGGCACCTTAGCTGAATGTTTCTGCTAATCAGCAATGCAATAGTTAAATGTTGATATTTTAAAGTATCTTTAGGAGAATGGGTCAGTTCATAACTCCTAACAGCTTTAGTTTTAGGTTGTCTCAGAAAGACAACACTGCAGTGGTTCACATTTGGTTCGTGTTTCTGGGGTGATCTTCACAACCCTGAGGGCTGGAAAGATATTTTAAAATGAAATTGTGGATTCTGGAGCACAATTCTGTGGCAAGGAGCAGATTCCATGACACCCCCCCCCCCCACACACACACACTAAAAAAGAGATGTACTATGCTCCCACCTTATTTCTGTCCCCAAATGTACATTTCTACCTATAGAATGGAAGAGTGTCATATCACTGATTCTCTGGGTCAGATTCTTCCCTCTGGGTAGCACTGTTGACTTCAGATGAGGCTCCTGGGTGCAGCAGAATATAGTCCTAAGCACCATGGCACATCTAAATTGAAATGACCTTTGAAGCTAAAATCTTAGGGTGAAATCCTGGCCTCACTGAAGTCAATAGGAATTTTGCAGTTGACTTCAGTGGAGCGTGGATTTTACCCCTAGTCTCAAAATTTAATTTTAAAACAAAAATGAAATGAAATGAAGGAACAAAATGGTGACAGTTGCAATGTGCATTCATCAGTGCTGGGAATAACTCCAACAATAACATAATCATAGTTGGTATGTTGTGTGAGAGAGAATAAAAGAAATTAGGAATGGTTCCTGATACATGGAGACCTGGACAGCTAATCTGTGGTGTAGACCTATCCATATTGATGAAATAAAAGATAAAGCTGACCCTAGTAAGACTAACAGAGGGTCCTGTGGCACCTTTGAGACTAACAGAAGTACTGGGAGCATAAGCTTTCGTGGGTAAGAACCTCACTTCTTCAGATGCAAGAAGTGAGGTT